CCGAGCCGGCAGCTCCTGACCGCCAAGGCGTCTCTGGCTCTTCAGAGACCTGGAGTTGGAGCTGCCGGGAGCGCGGAGGGAAGGGCAGTCAGTCCCCCTGAGTCCTCCTTCTCTTTTTTCTAGAATGAAACGTTCCGTGGAAAAAGCTTGTGATGTAAGCTCGTGGTTTCTTTTAACGCTCAAATACTGCTTTTGGTGGGGACGTTGACTCATCAAACTAATCATCTCATCGACTCTCTTTCTACCCTAGCCGCGCGGAGAGGTCCCTGGTTTAGGGATGAGTCAAGGAGGTGGAGGTTTGGACCCAGAACCCAAGCCAATATTCAAAAGTGAGGTGACAGAGGCAGTCTTTGGCCTTTGGGGGGCACTGCGTGCCTAGTGGGTGGGCGGTCATTTCAGTGAAGGGTCTTCCAGGATCCTTGCATCTTAGAACATCCCCCTAGACTCCTATATAGCTTTCCTGCTACCTTTATTTTTTTATTTTTATTTTTAATAGGCAGACAATTCCTTATCTATTCAGTCCCTCAGCCTCCTCTTACATGGAGGTTCCATCGAGAGTTAGTGCTGCCTTGTTCTGGTACACATCAGCAGGGAATCCATGCAAACCAAAAAAAAAAAAAAAAAAGGCAGCACAACTTTCTGCTGACCTTCCACATTCTCCTCTCCCCAGAAGAACACTAGCAAGATGTCTTCTCTGGTAAGGAATTATTCCAGATAGGTCAAGTAATAATGATGGGACCCCTAATAATGATATTTTTTTCCACAAAAGCTTAATTGCCTCTTAGGGTGACTTAGTTAAAAAGAATTTCACTCCTAGGGTATTGAGGGTGTTAGCTGGTCTGCTTGATTGCCTTTTTTTTTTTTTTTAATGGGCATCAGCATTGGCCTATGATTTAATTAGCTCTGTGTGCTCTTTTGGGAATAATTGCAAATGTGTAAACTTAAGGTGCCCTTATGTGAGTATGTTCATTTCAGGAGATAATGCATTGGAAAAAATAATAACATACACTTGAAAGTCTTTCAACTATTTGTTTCTGCTATTATTCCTAAAACACACTATGTTCCTGTTTAACGACACATTGAACTTTAACTTTTCTTACCATTTAGAAGTGTCCTTTATAGTGTGATGACATATTTCAGTTGTCTTCCTAAGTGATCCACAGTATTAATCTTGAAACCCATGATAAACTGACAGTAGAGATAACCAGTAAGCAATTTCATAGTTAAGAGTGTTACTGTTGTCAGCAAAATTAGTTCCAGTTTAGGGTAGAACACACCTCTCTGTATGTGAGCAAATCCAGAATTTGCAGTTTTCTTCACATGTTGCAGTTGCAATCTACTAAAATTCTTAAGTCATAAGGTAAAAGATCTCATTTTTACTTTTAGTTGTTTGGCATTTAGGTAAAGAAAAAACAAAATTGCCTGCTGTTTATGTTTAGGCCTAGCTTGATGCAACTTCTTTCCTTTTAAATGACTACCGTGTTTATGCTAAGGAGGAAGCTTAAAGTAGTCCAGAGGGAACACATCCACTCCAAAACCAAGCCATGGAGCTTTTCAGTGGGGTCGGATGTAGGGCATCTGGCACCTAATTTCATGAAGTGAGAAATTATATTTGCTATATACCCTGCAGAACTAATAAAATAAGTTGTGGTGAAACTAGAAATTCATATTTCAAAAAGAAAACTGTTTACAGATACTAGGTAAAAAAAAAAAACAAACAAACAACTTAGCTCTTGCCACTGATAGCACAGAGAGAATGGTTTTGATGGGTATGCTTAGCTCCATCTAACCAGGAATACTTTGTATTTATGCTTTATACTGAGTGAATTCTTTGATGTTTTTAGTATTTCCCTTTTAAAAATACATATTGAATCTTCTTGTAGACAACACTATGCAAAAAATGCTTTCAGTGTAACTGTCCGGAAGTCATATCTGATCTGGAATGCGAAATAAGAAGGGGGTGGCAACATCCTTCATGCTTTACATTCACAGGAAGGAAAGGCCTTTTCTAAGACAGACTGCTACAGAGGTCACAAAGGAAGAACCCCTTGGGATTCATTTCACTTTATACAAAGAAATTTGCTCTAGAGCCTCAGATTGTACTAGGCCTGTGAATCACACTTGAGTATAAAAAGAGTGACTAGTTGTAACTACTTGCATTCAGAGGTCTTTCCCTTGATAAAAGTCTAAAATTTGGCCTGTTACCAGTTCAATAAAAAGCAATTAGAACTGCAAAATAGTAACATAGTATTTTTTTTGTTCATATAAAACTGATTTTAACTCCTTCCCTCACTTTTAAAAATGTCTCCATGGTGCTCAAAAATCTTGATACAACTAACCATATCAGTGTTTATTCTGCTATGTCAAAATGTATCCATCTCTGTGTGTCCAGGAAGCGATCTCCCTTAGAGTTTTAAAAAGACAAGCTCAAGAATATTTTTACTTCCGTGAAAACTTATTGGTGGTGAAAATAATTATTATAAAGATAGCAATCTGTGGTTAGGGAAGGATGATATTGACAGATGAGTTATTATGGGAATAAAGATCATAAAGATCCCACGTGCACACGGAAATACTGATAGTTAGTGCCCACACACTTGAGGCCATATTTCCAAGAGTGGGAAGGTTAACTTCTGTGTCTATCCACATTTTTGTTCCAGTGTAGTTATTATCATTAGATGTGCGCTATGAAAACTGACTTTGCCGCAGCGTAGTGAAGCGCATCCTATACCTGTATTTCCTTGCCTGTTAAATGACCTTTATGAAATGATTATTATTAGCCAATTATAAGGCATCAAATGTATCATTTTCATCAGTGGGACAGTTTAAAATATAATTTTTATAGAGTACTACATTTCACAAGGAATATTGGCATATTATGTTCTGAGCAGTTTCAGATTGAAACGACATGTTTAAAAAAGAATGCAAACCAAAATACCAAGCTATAAGCCTCCAATTACAGAATCCATCTAACAGCTGTTTCAGAGGCAGCATTTCTTTCCACTGATAGTGGGAGAGGGGTGCCACCACAATGAACACAGATCTAGACTTTGTGATTGAGCAAACAGCCATGCAACTTTTTACTATGTTCCTCAGAGCCTAAACAGTAGAATGTGACCTGTAAAGAAATAAACGCACATTGGAGAGGCTCTGATTCCTGTTGCTACACTGTAACAAGAGATTTTTGATGCTCCAAGGCTGAGTTTACATCTATAAAGTGCCAAGAATATAGTCTGTTGAATAATGAGTTGTTCAGCTCTACATGTCCTGTGACGTACAGTTTATCACAGCTTTCTGTCACCATCATCACACTATCACCAGCACCCTTACTACTACCATATGCCACATGACGTATTAGCCTAACGCTATTGGTTGGAGGGAGGTAGTTTTTCCCATGTAGAAGAAAATATTACTAATAATGGCTACTTACTGAGTATTCTCCTTATACTACAAATTCTTTTTATAAATAATTTTATTGAACTTTATTTGATTTTATTGATTTTGATTTGACCAGGGAGAGGGGAAGAAGAGAGAGAGAGAAGGAGAGAGTGAGAGAGAAAGTGAGAAAACAGGTCTGGGATTTGAACTGCAGTCGTCCACGTGGGAGTCCAGTGCCCTTAACCACCACACCACCTGCTGGCCCCATGCTACAAATTCTTGTCTACCCATCACCAATGGCCAGGAAACCATCTCTTTGTTGAGATGTTTTCAGACCAATAAAGTTTTAAAAATTATCACTTTAGGGGCCAGCAGGTGGTGTGGTAGACTCCCACGTGGCTGACCATGGTTTGAGTCCTAGATATGGCGATTTCTTTCTCACTTCCCTTCTCTCTCTCTGTCTCTCTCTGGTAAGTATGCATTCCCTATAACAAATTAAATTAAAAAAATAATAATTTTTTTATAAAATAGTACTTTGGTTGTATTTTATAAATTACTTTCACATACAGAATCCTACTTAATCTTCATAAAGTCATAGATATTAGATAATAATATTGTAATTTTTAAGGTATGGTAAAATCATTGTGACCTAAAAAGTGAATATTGTCCCAGAATGCAAAGGAAGCAAAGCATAGAATCACAAACATGACCAGATACTTCATATTCCAACACCATTTTTTTTTTTAAGAGAGATTTTTGCTATAGGACACATGCATTCTCTGGAGAGACAGAAAACAAGAAATTACCACTACCCCCAGGGAGGATGGTCATGCTGCAATCCCTTCTCCTCTATTCTCCCCTTAAGATTTTGGGCACACATGCACACACACCTGGCAGAAGTTTTAAGCCACCAGGTCCAGGACTTGAACTGCAGTGCACTATGTGGGTGGCTGTCCAGTGATGTAACCATTACACCCTCTGCTCCTCTCCCAAAGCCTTCTTACAAGACAACAAAAATACATCCCATATACCTTCTACAAAAATAACATTATGCTCTTGGGAGTCACGCTTATACAAATGCACAAGAATTGACCAAACACCCCGTCTCTGTTTTCTAACATAACTCTGTGTGGGCTAGTGGGGAAGTGAAGGGACAGAGACAGCATTTCTACAGAGTCTTGGTACAGGGATCCACCCCCAGCTCCACCTTGGATCATGGGCTTGCATGTGCTGGGCAAACTTTGGGAAGACTTTGGCCTGAACCAGGAACCTTCTTGTGTGGGCCCTATTTAACCGTCATAAAGTCATCGTGTGATTTTGTTTTTTAAAGTTTTTTCTAAAGTTTTATTTTGTTTGGGATTGAGAAATTATAACTGGATGTACTTATGGGGTGACAATGTGATGTTTAGAAAGAAGCATACATTGTGGACTGATCAAATCAAACTAACAAGCATATCCATCACCTCGAATATTTATCATTTCTTTGTGGTAAGAATATTTGAAATCTTCCTCTTAGCCATTTTGAAATAGATGAATACAATGCAACATTATTAACTATAGTTAACATGCTATGCAATAAACTACCAGAACTTTTTCCCTCAGTCTAATTGAAATTTTGTACCCACTGAACAGCTTCTTCCTTTTCCCATGCACCCCTCCCCTTCATCTCAAACCTCTGATAGCCACCATTCTACTCTCTCCCTGAGCCTGATTTCTTAGATTCCACATGTAAGTAAGATCATATAGCATTTGTCTTCCTGTACCTGACTTAATTACACTCAAAATAATCTTCTCTAGGTTCATATGTGTTATTGCAAATGACAGTATTCCTTGTTTTCTTTTTCTTTTTTTTTTTTTTTGAGAAGTTTTTGCTATAGGGCGCGTGCGCTCGCCAGGAAGACAGAGAGAGACAGAGACAGAGAGATAGAAAGCGAGAAATCACCCCCCAGGGGGGATGGCCACACCACAATCCCTTCTCCTCCATTCTCCTCTCAGGATCTTGGCCACACACGCACACGTGCTCGGCGTGAGTTCTAAGCCACCGGGTCCAGGACGCGAACCGCGGTTGACTACGAGAGAGTCCAGCGACATAGCCATTACGCTAACTGCTGGTTCCCAGTATTTCTTGTTTTCTTAAGTAGTATTCCATAGGATATATATAAATGGATACTAAATAGTATTCCATTTTGGATATATATCATATTTTAAAATTCGGTCAGCTGTTGATGAACTTAGATTGTTCCATACCTTGGTTACTGCGAACCATACTGCAGATACTTCTTTCACATACTGATTTCATTTAGAGGGGATATATACCTGAAGTGGGATTGCTGGATTAAATAGTAATACCGTTTTCATACTTGATGACAATTTTTTTCTCTAAGTGCCATGGAGATCTTTTCTTTATATGAGAATGGCTTCATTTCAAAAAGAATAAGGGTAGATGCTTGTCCTGATAAAGTCTTATTCACTTAATCCTGGTAAGACATAACACCTTTCATCTTGCATATATTTTTCCTTCCAACATGCAGAAAAATTTGTATATACAACTTTTACACTAGTAATCCAAATCAAATGATGTATTATGCTACTTAGACAAAATACTTCTTACTTTCATAAAGCTTGCATTTCTGTTTTATTTCAGAGATGGTGAATTGTGTTTGAGTCGATCACTTGTCAATAGTTCTGATAAAATCATTCGAAAAGCTGGCTCATCAATCTTCCAGCACAATGTAGAAGGTTGGAAAATCAATTCCTCTTTGGTCTTGGAAATAAGGTGAGATTTTAAATAAGGTATAATAAATTTCACATCATGTTCTCAAATATGTTGGGCTTGGCAAACTTATGTTGAATACTTGATTTATGGTTTTAGTATGAATACTTTAATAAAAGAATGAACGAGCTCTATTTAATGTTGCTCAGTGAGAAATGTGAAACTATAAAAATGAAATCATTATGCAGTCCGACATTTAAGGATGAACATGTGAATTTTGAATATACTGTCTATTATAGAACAAAATATTTAAGAGTACTATTTAACACACTTTGCGTAATTATTCAGGGTGGACGTATATTTTGAAAATTATCTTTAACTTTTTTTCCAGTTGAAGCTTCATTTAGTTCTTCAATTTTCTCAACAATATGAGAACAGAGCCTATTTAATTACTATTTTTCTGACAACTTTAAATAAATTTAGCCTGTCTCATGAATGGGTATGTCTTTTGTGAACTCATAGAAGAGTGAGTAAAAATTTAAAATAATCTTTATAGAATAGTAGCATAGTCATTGTATGAATAGGCGGTAGGCATTTTAGCTGAAACAAATTCTTAAAGTCAAAATCAATACCTACATACATCCAATGTCATTTTCTTCCCTTGTAGTCCTGTCACAAATGAGGAAGATGTGGTTATACCTCTTAATTCCAGAGAAAGAAAGCAGATCATTTTTCCTTATAGTTCCATTACATTACTGTGTTTGTTGGTATGTTTGAATTACAGCATTTCAGTAAAACAGAACTTTTTAAAATGTTGAGAGAACACATTTCTTTATGTAATAAAATCACTGAATTGGCAAAAAGCTAATTATGCAATGGTGGAATATTATTAGCATGCAGATTTTGTAAGAGTTGTTTAGAGATTACAAGATAAGGGGTTGATTTATCTGGGTTTCTTCTTACTCATTTTTTGAATTGTACTCCCACACAACATAGATTATAACCTACTTGAAGGAAAAGTCTATTTGCACTCAAAATTAGAGTATACACGACAATTCATGGACTTTTGGAGCAAAGGCACTCACTTTGATTAAAATTTATGTAAATGAATGTCAGGAAATTAAAAGGGGATGGTTTCTTGGTGTTAAAAAATAAAATTTTAGACAAACCAAAATTTAAATGAGTTTGCTTAAGCAAATAGGCAATCTGAATCAGGCAGTCTCCCAGAAAATGGTTTCCAAGGGACTCTGGGTAGCAGTGTGGTCATGGGGTATATACGTTTGCAGAACAGGAAAATGATGTCTGTGTGAGAAGGGGAAAGTGACATAAAAAAACGAAAGTGATGGACTGAGGTAGAGAAATCATGGGGTTAGGTACAGGCTGGGTGGTAGGCTGTACCAGCAGCCTAAAAGGTGGACGTTGTGTGATTGATTCACGTGTGACCAGTGTGACTGGCTGTAAGTTAGCAACCGGCTAAGGAAAGCAGCCTAACATGTATGATTTGGACTTATCTATAGGAATCCAAGGGTGGAAGTACAGCAGCTGTTCTAGGCCGCAACAGTTTAGTTTACCAATGGCAATGCAGAATTGATTAGAATGTTTTGTTTTAAAGGTGAGGATGAGACTGTGAAGAGAAACAAGGACCAAAACACAGCAATGTGCTCTTATTTTCGGTTGTCTTTAGTTTAAAGGAAGCTTTGTGTACTTGTGGTCTACCACAAGAACAAAGAGATGAAGAGAGTTTCATGACAGTGTGTATAAGTTAGTTTTTTCTGGGTGGAATATGACCAGCCAGTAAAATTTATTTAAACTGTATATATATAAGAAAATACTTAAAACCAAAATTAAAAGTCACAAGATTCTTTTTGAAGTTTAGATTTTCATAAACTCTTGAGAAATTGTAAACGTGGGCGACTTTGAACCTGTTTTCCTCCTAGGAACTAACTGGCTGGAGCTGCCACAGCCCATCCTCTCTCCAGTTTGACCTTTTTACACCTGGGGCTTTTTCTCTCAGGATAAGCTCCCCCGTGGGAAGGTGGGGTTCAGTTTAGAATGGAGTAAGGATTCATAGCTCTTCAAGGTAGATTAGAAAGAGAAGTGTGGATTGCTAAAATAGATTTGCTCTTAGGACCAACAGTTGGCATAATGGTTACATGACTGGACTTGCACATGGTTGACCTGGTTCGAGTTCTACACCCATCAGCTTAAAACTCACACCGGCACGCATGGGCGGATGCCCAAGATCCTGAGAAGAGAAGGGAGGAGAATCTCTCCAGGGTTGATTTGTCTTTAAAAAAAAAAAAAAAAAAAAAAAAAAAAAAAGATTTGCTCTCTAAGCATGCCTAGAAAGAAAACTTTGAGATTGGATATATTTAGCAAGATGGAAGCTAGCTAGATAAGGTTACGCTACAGGTAAAGGAAAGTAATAAAAAATAAAGTAAAATGAGAAATTATAATACTTTAATACATCGATCTGTATTCAATAATGTATCAATAAATGGAAATCTAGTAAGTAAATTAAATAGGTAATTGACACTAATTTAATTAATATATCTGGATGTGCCTTTCTAATATCTATACAAAATGCGTACTGTTAGATGAACATTGAAGCTACGGTTGTATATTTTGCTATTATTAAGATATTCAAGCTATGGGTATTAAACAAAAATTGTCTCAAGAAAGTTATGATTGAAACTTCTCAAATTGATGTTTTGCATTTATATATTTGAGGGTGATCTCCTTTCAATTATAACAGATAATAACATGACTGAAATATTAATATTATTTTTATACGATTTCCTCTAACAGATAAAGAAACAAAAGATAAAACAATAAGAAACTATTGAATAATATATTCATAGTTGTCACTTCCTTGCAAGAAAGAATAATTTGTAAACCCATTTTTGTACAATGTACAGTTTATAAAAGTTGTAATTGCTCAAAGAGGCAATGACTAGTGAGTATTAATCTGTTTGACACCTGTAATAAAACATTTAGAATATAAAAATGCCTGATTCCTAGATTAGTTTTCACAAATGTGGTTTTTAAAGTCACACAGGATATGGATCATGTCGTATTTTAGATGATTAAAATTTTTTTTGTTTCTTTGTCACCTTTCCAGCATTTAAGAAGAACCATATCACTTGGTGTCTGTGAGTGAGGTGTGGGTAGTTTACAAGGTTTTCAAAATTCTCTCTTAAAGTTTTTTTCTGGGGGGGAACCAGCAGTTAGCATAATGGCTATGTCGCTGGACTCCCACGTAGTCGACCGAGGTTCGTGTCCTGGACCCGGTGGCTTAGAACTCACACCGGGCACGTGTGCGTGCATGCCCAAGATCTCGAGAGGAGAATGGAGGAGAAGGGATTGCGGCATGACCATCCCCCCTGGGTGGTGATTTCTTGCTTTCTGTCTCTCTGTCTCTGTCTGTCTGTCTGGCGAGCACATGCGCCCTATAGCGAAAACCTCTCAGAAGAAAGAAAATGAGAAAGCACCCTCCCCCATGGGGTACAGTCACAGTGCAATCCTTTTGTCATTTCTTCCTGCTATCGGGATTCTGGGCATGTGGCCATATGCCCCCAGCAGGCTTTTTAGGCCACTGGGTCTGGAACTCCAACTGTGCAGTGAGCCGTGTGGGATCCGGTTGCCTTTACCACCACACCACTTTATGGCCCTCCCTTGACATCTTTGACATGACAACCATTTATTTTTCATCTTACATGATTAAACGAGGCTTACAAATCTTTCTCTTTAAAAAATGCACTAAATATATTATGCTCTTGTCTTATCCCTAATAAATAATTTATCTATTTACATCAAAATGTGAAATAGTTTTTGAAGATAAAGTTTTTACACTTGTAGACATAATTTTGTTTCTTATTACTAATTCCTTATATGCCCTCTGCTACTTTCATAAGCATGTTGAGAATTGCTTCATATATATTTATCAAAAAATCATACATCTGGGGAGTTGTCTAAGAGAGATGGTTCGATGTAATCATTCATTTTATTTTGAAGACTTCTCAAGATTTAGGGCATTTGTGCATTCTACAGATAGCCATACAATTAAAATAATTACCTTTCTTTAAAGGCTTGATTTTACTGGTAATAGTTTGTTCTTTCTTATTGTAAACTTAGAAATGACACATTTAAAACTCATTAGATGTTGTGTATAAATCTGTGAGGTTATTGGGTCATGTCACTGGTGGCTTGACTTTGATTTCCATGTTTGGATTCTTTTCTATCTTTTTTCCCCCTCCTTTTTCATATATTGCATAGAACCCTAAAGAAGTATAAACACCAAATATACATGGATAGAAATGTACAAGCTCAGTTAGCCATCTGGACAATTTAATCCCATCATAATTAGTCAGGAAAAAGATTTTCAACTCTTAGTATCACAATATATCAAAGTTATTAAATAGGCAAGACTTTCAGCGTTGTAAGCATTATTGCAAAATTGCAAATATATGTTTACCTGTCAAAAATAATCTGCTATTGTATGCATAGGTTTACTTTAGAAAAAGATACACGTACTCTACTTCGAGCAAGTGACCCGTGGAGCTAATCTTGGGTCATGAAAGTTTTTAGTGGCAGTCAAGATACAAACCTAGGGACCAGCAGTTAGCGTAATGGCTATGTCGCTGGACTCTCATGTAGTCGACTGCAGTTCGCGTCCCAGACTTGGTGTCTTGAAGCTCACGCTGGACGCGTGTGCGTGCGTGCCCAAGATCCCGAGAGGAGAACGGAGCAGAAGGGATTGCGGCGTGGCCATCTCCCCTGTGGGTGATTTCTCGCTTTCTGTCTCTCTGTCTCTCTCTCTGTCTGTCTGGCGAGCACACACGCCCTATAGAAAAAACCTCTCAAAGAAAACAAAAACAAAAACAAAAACAAACCCAGGTCCATCTGACTGTTGAACCAGACTCTTATTATGAAACAATTTTCTGGAAGATTGTATTTCAATACTAAAAGTGCATACTGCTAGAATGCATCTTCCTGGGGCACATGATCTTTTTTACTCTAAAATAACAAAATATAAAGTATTATTCACCTAATATTGTCAAATT